AAGCTTATTTACTCGTACAAAGACGTTTTGCAGAAGCTCTTTTCTCGCTGTGTTAAAATGGAGAACCATTTAAGTCAATGACTAAACTGTTCAAAGACCGTTTACTCTTAAAGTTAAATCTTGTCCATATGCCATAAGAGTGAGAAAACTGAAAATCTTTTTACTGGCTAAAACGAGTTCATTTCAAATGTAAGAATAGTATGGCATGTTTACAAACCATTTTAAATGATTAAATAACGAAAATAAAATAGAGTAGAAATAAAATTCACTAAATCTAGCAAATAGTTAAGAACTCGTATATTCAACATTGTAATAGTTTAAGTGTCGACCCGAATTGAACCTTCTGACCTGGAAATCAGTTCGTGCCACATTATTGGCACCTGTGCTTCGGCCACAGCACCGATAGGTCGGAAAAACTCCCTATACTCGGCAGTAATCTCGACCGGCACACTGGTATCACAGCAATATTCACCTAATAAATACTTTCCCACCCTAGCATTCACTATGTAACTGCTGAAAGTTCGGAAACTGTTATTGAAAATGCGGACCCGAATAATTCACTTAACTAGTTATTACAATCGAGTCCTGTTTTAGCGTAAAGTTGTGTGCTGTTTTTGCAGATTCACTATATGAGTCATCGCTTTTCGAAGCTTAATATAGTTTTTGTCCATGGAAATACGCCAATTTATTATTACGAGTATAATAAATTGGTGTTCATATCAGTATAAGTTAACGCTGATGCCAATATTTGTTTATATGTGAACTCAAATATATTCAGTAATTAATATGATTTATATTTTGTTTTTGTATGAAACAAGAACCATCACTAGGTTTAAAGTATTGTTACCAGGTTAAAATTATGTCTGCATAAATGTGCTCTCTTTATTTACATTTAAAGTAGATTCCTTGAACAACAAATTTCTTCTAAATCCTCACAATACAACAAAAAACCGGTAGCGGTAATGCCAGGAGTATTAGTCGCTGCTTCGCAAGCGAGAGGTCCCGTAGCGCAGCGCTTTGTGCTAAATCTCACCAAGTACCTACCTACATTAACGTTTTCCGATATCTAAAGCACAGTGTTCACGTTTTAAGAGGCGCGGGGCGAGCGGTCGCCGCCGCGGCGGTCCAGTAGAATAACAAAGAACTGTGTAGTTGAGATATTGGACCACTAATGGACTTCAGGATTTATGGAGCTTTTCAGATCCATGTTGCTATTACTTATCTTAGCGAAACTCATAGTAATCCGTATCGTATTTTCGCAGCATGCACGTAGCCTGTATGGATGTGAATGCGGGCATAGTGCGGGGGCTTACTTCCGCACAATCAATCAGGGCGGCTGATGAGGGTGCACCCTGTTATTGCAAAGCTCGCACTACTTAACTAGTTCAGCCAATCAATAAATTTGTTACCGATACGGATTGGTAAATTAATTCAGATGTAACGTGCATCGCACATTAAATTTCGACGTTCAACAAACACTTTTATCTTGTGTCGAATTTCCATAAATTTAAAAGTACACCAGACGTCCCGTGTTGGCAAATTTCCACGCTATGACTACGGTCGAACCTGTATTTCCTTTTGTCTTTTGTTTCCAAGTTCCCTTCCAAAATTATGCAAAATTGGTTTTGTGTTGTTGTATTGACATTTTTTAACGAATCGAAAGGCTATTTTGAATCTGCCATCATTACTTAATTTACTTAATGAATATCTGCCATCTTTACTTACTTCATTTATCTAATGTCAAATAATAATCTCTAAATATTTTCCTTGAGTTCCAACAATATTATATTCAAGTTCACTTGTAGTTATTATTCTCTTGTATTCATTGAATATTTTTTTAATTAACTGTCAGTATGTTGTTAATTGATAGAGTAAAATTAATGAAACTGAAGATTTCCAGACGTCTAGAAGAGCTGTCCTAGAACGGATTAAGTTATATTGATGTAAACAAAGCTTTGCTAGATCTAAGTTATGGCTCTGTACTTGTTTAAGTAATGAAAGAAGGAATTAATTTATATTCGAATTAAAATTGTTTATTTGCATCACATGTGGTGTCAGGTTATCATGTGATGCCAGGTTATTGATACAATATTCAAATAAAATTGACAAGAACCAGTACATAGTCGTACATCACACATACAGTCATAGTTTGGTAACACTCGTATAGTTTTGAGCCTTTGAGGCTTCCGAGTTAATTTTATATAGTGTTTATAAAATAAAAAACTATTATCTTGAGTGAAACAATCACTGAACACTTGTGAAAATAATAATGTTTTTCATCACGCGATTTGGGCTCATATAAGCTCACTATAAAAGCTTGTTAGAAATGTACGGAACACAATAATAGTTAAATCAGAATAAAAAAATGTTTGGTTCAGCAAATAATAATGTTAGTTTTGAGTAGGACATACTGATGTTTGTACTGCCGCTGTTGTGTGTAATGTATTGTATTGAAACGCGAGTTAGATGTAGATTTGTGGTTATGAGCTAACGTCACACGATGCGCGCCGGCGCTGGCGGGCGGCAGCGGCCTGGGCGGGCGGCGCGAGCCTGGGCGGGCGCTCGGCGCTGCCGCGGTATATGGCCCGTGAGTAATCCGCCCGTAATACTCGATTTAATGGGTTGGAATTAAACAATTAGTTGTTTTCTTTCTGCCTCGTCAATGATGAAGCCTCGCTTGGATGCGGTTGAGCACTGGCTTTTACGGCTTAGGTTACGGTTAGGGTTTACTTCATTTTCGATTATCATTAGTCTAAACCAGTTAATGATTCAGCTATACAATATTATTCATCGTAGCGGTAGAGCCTGATAAGAGTAATAATTTCAGATTTTAATGATTCCTCCAACTCCAATTATCATTCATCTTACGTATTTCGAATTCGTAAAAGCAAAAGGAATAATAAAATTATACTAACATAACTTTATTATTATAAACTTATTTATTTAATTAAACACAGCATTGAGATATCAAAATAGCTCGCTTCTAAATTTCAATCGCATTCAGACAAAATATTGAATTTGGTGCTCACAATTAATATTCGCTTCGAATCACTGCCATTATTTTCGTTTACAAGAGGACCGTTGTTTTTACAGCTAGCATTAATTCCGTTGATAAACCTGTTCTTTGTTCATCCACAATAATGCGACGAGTTGGCATTTTAATCAAGGCTAACGAATTTTTAGAGTTAGGTAGGTACTTCAGAAGCGGTGCGATATCGCGCCGTGACATCAGCCCGTAGCGTCTCCCGCGCGCCCCCCGCCGCCCGCGCCTCTCGGGTCGCCACTTTTCGTGCTCGACGCGTTGCTCTTATCTTTGAGTAATTACCTTGTTGTTTTGTTTTGTTATTGTCTGGCCACTGGCACGGTTTGTTTTAACGTTATGATTAGTGCACACAGCGAATGGCGTTATCTCCGCTACGTCGCTTTACGATCCTTTATATTCGCACCGGAAAATTGGTGCCCAACCGTAATATGTAGATTGTATTAATTTTATAAAACATAACCCACCTAAATTAATTCGAGTGGGTTTAGCATGACTCTGGAGTAGATATAGTCGACAGTGCCGCGGTGAAATTTTATTATATCATAAAACAGTTGATTGGGGCTCGCACGTGTTATGGGTTTAAATTAAAATTTCTTGACGTGCTGTGTTATGGGGCCGTCAAGTGGCAGCTACGGCGGGTAGTCGTATATATTCGCGAGCGCGGCGCGCGGTGGCTGCAGCTCATGTGCACCTGCGGATATTGCCGCGTAAATCAAATTTCTTATTTCGCCCCAACACTTATTCCCACCTTAGCACATTTACCAAATAGGTATGTTACCATAGTATCTTCAAAACTCTACATGAATTTGGTAGTCCAACAACCAAAATGAGTGTAATTACTACTTGACTGTAATAACACTGTATAGTGTAAAATGTTTGTTTCTTTTAATTCCCATTAGGTTTTCCTTTCCTTAGCTATCGGCTCACTTGTGAAGACCATAAATATCCTGAGAGCTTTTTCGTTAAACTAGCTTTACTCTTTAATTTCATTCATTTATTGTTACATATGAGCAATCAAACAATTTGCATCTGTGCGTAATGATATGGTCGCACCGGTGGCATGAATTACAGGCCATAATAGCCATATATATGCCAATACGATTAATATTTAATGCTGCTATTCTGCGCCGAATTACCCCGTGTCTGTGGTTGAGCTTGCACTGAATTACTGCTTACTGAATATGTGTCGCACATTTCGGCAGAGTAATTTTGTTATCACAATAGTCAGACTAATATATCAGGAATATTTATATCTTCGGTTATTATGATATTATGTATCTCTGTATATTAGGATTGCAACGGAAATAGTAAATCCTTGTTTTGTTTTGTTGGTAGGTACTCAAAGATATGTTTAATGTAATATTTGGGAATGAAAATTACTCGTCCCACAGTTCCTTGCAAATTAATTGCGGAATGACAGAGCACAATGCTCAGCTCTCTTAATGCACGCTCACAAAGCGAAACTGCTTGGGCGGCACCGTAGCGGCACGCAGCGGCGGTGATTATGATAATGACGCGGTGGCCGCGCTTTTTGCGTCGTTCGCCCTATATTACGGAACTCGACACCATTTTCTGATTTTGCTGTACGCCTGGCAGTCGGCAGCGCATCACCCGGGCTCGGAGCTCGCCTTTCGCTGCTCGCCTTAACCACTCTGAGATGCTTATAAATTATGCAAGTCGCTATAATCCACGCCCTAAACGCCTTCTCCGCCGCCTCAATTATTCATTCGAGCGGTTTGATGTTTTAGAAAATTGTCGCGATACTCCAGACGGGCGATGCTTTATAATTCAGGTTGAATGTTGTAGACGCAGCTGACACCGAATTCCAGCTCTAACTTAATCTTCTTACAGGGATTAGTAGTTGGGATGAGGCAATTTATAATTGATTAGTAGAACATACCGAACGATTCACTTCCTTGTTACTGTATCTTCTTATACATATTTGTTTTCATTTCAGGATTCAGAAGGAGATACACCGTTACATGATGCCATTTCTAAGAAACGAGATGACATGTTATCTATGCTACTGGAGCATGGTGCTGATATGACTCTCACAAACAACAACGGTTTCAACGCGCTCCATCACGCTGCTCTACGAGGCAATCCAAGGTATTTTTAGCAATACACATTAAAAAACAATTAAATTACACATTCTTAATAAATATATTACAAAGCAGGAAAATGCATGTGTGCTGTACAGATAATATTTCGGCATACTTATCTACGAGCGACCCTACATCGTAGACTTTGTCTGAAATAAACATAACGTCGCTTGTTGTCCGACATTATCCCTGGGAGAATGGGTAGTTATGAGCGAGCCTGCCGCACAATAAACTGCTTATGCGTCTAATACCGTGGTCCGAGCGAGTGTGTGGCGGCTTGCTCGCGTGATGTCTTTATTACCTACTTCCCAAATCACGCGTATGCTTTTCATAAAAATAAGATTTTCGGTAGATGAATTATCCCTAATAATTCTCATGGTCTAATAATATAGCGATAAGAATGTTCTTTGTAAGATGAAGTTATGAGAACATTGGGTCGACTCTGAATATTATTTCACCGATAGGAAGCCACATTGATCCTAAAGGATGAAATCGGCAGTGTTAAACTTTCGTTTATTAAAGTTGCTATTCACCCTGCCAGAACTGTGAGCAAAATACTACTCAAATAATGTTTGACGTACATATTTATGAGTACTAATAAAGCACGCCGTAGCTATAATCATGCACCAAAACATTTCGTAGCGTTTCGTAGCACTTACTACCTGCTACGACCGGCGCCGCAGCGTATCTGTTTTAATAGTTTTCTTCAACAACTAACTCTCGAGGTGTTTTACGACGCTTTTAATAAAAGCTAAACATCTTTTTAGACGCCTTCAGGTGCGGCGGGAGAATCTCAGGGTGGTAGGTAATAGAAAGGAGCGCGAGCCAATTGCTTTTCACTCCCGAAGTTTTTAATTCACAAGATAATGGATTCTATCTACAAGCAAATGGCATTTAAAGTAGGGATCTCAGTGCCGATAGGTGCAAAGCGTAGAAGAAAGACGATTTGTATATTAATCACCATGCAGAATGCGGAGGAATTTCAATAATATATTTATTACAGAATATTAATCAAGACTGAATGTTTTTGTGATCTATGTATTTATTCGTAGATTAATCGAACTAAGTTTATCATCGTCATTGCTATGGAACATTAGATATTGCATAATCAAACCGCAGTTTTTAAATTCAATGTCAATATACCTACTTGATTAAATTTTTCCATGCTTGAGAATTTGTAGGGGCATTATAACCCGTTACATTAAATATATCAACAATTTTTTGACTTGTATAAGTTATAGCTTTGCAAATAAAAAAGGTTTTCCAATATATGAATTGGCAAGTTAGAGTTAGAATAATGAATCTCCGCTGCCGAATCGTGCGTGAAGCGGTTTATTTGTGGAGGGTCCGAGGAGGCGCTGGAGCTCCGGAGGCCCGCGCGGCGACCGCCCACATTTATTCAAGTCACGTGACGCGTCCCAGGGAAATAATACGAAATGTGGCTACGTGACCAGTTCATTATGCGGCGGCGCAGAGCGAAGCCTTCGCGGTCACCTCGGACGCCGTCGGTTACTTTCCGTATGTCCGCCCGGGCCGCATATTACAAACAGCTGAACGTGCCGCCGCACACCGACCGTACAGGATTCCTTTTTAAATCACCGATAGTTCTTGCTCTCAGTACCCGTCCGGATTTATTCGCCGGTCCCGGGGAATCCCGAAGATAAAACTCGGTAAAAGGAATGTTCATTTTATTGTAAAGGATATCTTTATTACATTGTGAAAACTTTCCTGATTTCCACGTTCCCGTTTCAAAAATATTTCCGATACCTTCTTATTTAGGCTCTCGATATATTTTATAAATTCTTTCCGCGTCAACTCTTTGTATTTTGTTATGTTATGATTAAATTCTTTCCGCCCTCTTTTAAGCCCTAAAATATAAAACAGAGTTTTAAGGCTGTTGTTTAACAGTAATCGAATAGAAGATTGTCGTAAAACGTTGCCGATTTTATCGCGGAATGAGAAGTCGCGAGCGACTTTTCCCATTCGACAAAAATGTTCGTTTCCCCTTGGAGATGTAAAATCGTTTTATTTTATTACTTCCACCAGTATATCGTTATGTCAAAGAAACCCATCCTCTTACGTGCTGAGAGCTTTTCCTTAAAAATCTTACTTATTGATTTTTGTGAAATTACATTGAAATAATTTGTTGACTGCATAAGAAGCAGCAAATAACACCAGAAAAGAGAAAGTCATGGCATTATTTAGTTTTTAATACAGGGTGTATGGAGGGTCAGATCAGTAAACTCAGATCACTTAAATTATTATAAATTACATGATCGACTATTTAACCAAACGTAACAACTCATTGAACAAGATAACTTATAAAAATTTCAATTCCTCACAGTACACTGGTAACTTACGCACCAGTTTTTAAGATAATTAGGTATGTGATAGTCCTTCAGGTACCTGAAGTACTAATAAACGATGTTGAATGCAGTTTTCGCTGCAGATAATTATAATCCTTTGACTAGAACTAGATGTGGTCGTCACTATTTAATTTAAACGATGCGATCTCGGCGTGGTATCAGACGAACGAATATTTACTTAATGAAATTAAACAAGCGAGCCTTTGGTGTGGAGACGGGAGGCCGCGTCTTGTAGACTTGCGACTCCCCAGCGCGGCGCGCTAGCGGGGCGGACCGGGTGCTCTCGCGCTGTGTCATTACTTCTGATTAGAAACAGTTATCTCTCGCGGTTATCGTTACAGCCCCCCTAACGAGCCCATGTAAAACTTCTATAGCAATATCGTAATACATTACAGAGATACGATAAGCTTCCGGTTAATCATCCTCGTAAATTACACATTTATTCGCAATCATATGGAGGAACTCGACTGTAAAACTTGATGTAATTTATTGTCCCCCAACTTCTATAAATTTTAACGAGTTTTCGATTACGTGCTTTATGATAAAATTTCGTCTGATAGAAAATTCAATAATTGATGCGCAATTCTGAATTTCTGCCGTTGTTAATTTGGATTGTATGGATATGAAATTCATTGACAGATAGAGCCAGTTCTATTACGTTACAGGGGAGTTTTTCAATAGTTTATATTTATGTATGTCTAATATTTATTGCTAATTTGAGTAACAAGCTTTTAAGTTAAAGTTAAACAGAATCACCACTACTGAATGAAAAATCCTTAGTTATGATTCTAGCTAATGATAAATGGCAGTATAACGTACGTCTTAAATAACCATTGGGTAGTCTGAATAGTAGGCAAAATATATTTCTGCATATCTCATTTAATCAAATACGCCAGCAATCAGCGGCATCAGTATTTGGATATGCTAATTCTTCTGAAGTCCAATCTATCGTTAGCCTCACTGGTGTTTGTTTTTACGGTATGTTTATGAAAATGATCTGTGTAATACTCGCACATACCTACAATCTAATAAACCTATAATGTTCTCCTTCTAGGTATATTCCTCTTAGTTATCTTTCAATTATTTTCGAAGGAGTTCAATCCATTCCGTCACGTTTAGTTTGCGTCTTAGCCATATTTTCTTAGTAGGAAAATAGCACATCTCTAAACTCAAAAAAATTTTTTAGATTGTGGATGAAATTGTATTTTATTAATTTTTAATTAAAGTCTTTTTTGATGTGCTTAATGTGTTAGGTAAAAGAATGAACGGATTGGTGTCAGCCCGCTGAACAGCTGCGTCGGCTGCGGTGCGGCACGCCCGATAAGACGCGCATCGCCCAGCATTAATCGTGAGCTTAAATATTTTAACGCGTCGTAACATTGATTTATTCGGAGCGTAATCTCAGCTCGCGGCTTGTTTGTTCTTCGGCTCGAGACGTATAGGTAAGATTAGGCAGAGCGCCCTCAATCCGCGCAGCCCGATCTCTACGGACTCTTTCCTCCGACATCGCGCTTATTTGTTCTCATTAATTGGCAGCGTTTTATCTTTGCCAAATACTCGCACAAATGATTAATTTTGAAGCTACCCCATGCAGTAACCTGCGCTCGTTTGTGTAGACACATACATATTTATAAGGTACCGGACTGACCAGACAAATACCTAGGTGGAATATAGAACGAATAGAGCATTCACAGGAGATTTATATGGTCATTGTGCAGCGTTAATTGCAGCGAATGGAGCGAAGTGCGATGGTATCGCACTATCCGAACGAGAAATGTATGCTTCGCCGACTTGCTGTAGCGGTAGAACCCATGAGAATTACGAATAACGTGCATGTACCTACGTTTTCGTTTATAAATATGTAGGTACGATTACCTTACTGTGCTGCTAAATCCAAATTCTCATAAAAGTCATTATTTTTTCAAACGTAGATATAGCTGTGTTTACTTTGAATGGATGGATTTACGTTACCAGTGGCATGGCTTTTCGCGGAAAATTAATGGCATACCATAAAAAAGGGCTCGCTTTATATGGAGCAGATAGCAAAAGGGCGCGTCTGACGGACGAATGATTCTAACTAAATCGAAACAGCGGACACTGGCATTGAAAACCTATTGGCACAGATATCGACAGTGGCCGTCACACGAGTGGTCGGCAACGGAGAACATTTTAGTATGGCAGATTTATGAGAACCGGCCGTTGGCTAGGAACGGGGAGGTCGGCTAGGGATGGCGGGTGGGTGGCTCGCGGGAGGCTCTGTTATTGTGCGACGTTTGATTTACGCACGTACCGCTATCACCCTTTTGTTAGGTCGGATACCGACTGCTGTGCCAGTTCCGTTGGCCCGAATGCAGCAGCTCTTTACCGATGTTCATTTCCTTTAGCCTGGTTCATGGTTAATGTTTTTGAGGAAATCGTAAATAAAACCACTCGTAGCCACGTGAATAGGAAAGTCCATATACGCCTCGAAATTAATTATTTGAAATCAGCGTGCAGTCCATTTAATCATTTTTAGATCCAAACCCTCATATTTTGTTATTTTGATTCTTACAAGGGTGAGAATCTATAGTACATTTGCATACCTACAGCATCAGCATTCAGCGGTATCCTTAATTATGGCTGAAGCGTCATGGAGTATACT